TGTGGCATAGGAGAATTAAAACATTAAAATCATTACAGATGGGAGTCTACAGTGACAATTAGGAAAAATATCATTCCCTTTCACTCAGGAAAATGTTTATAAAACTAAATAGGCACCTTTGCTATGACCAGCCAGCCATTCCACTCCATAGTATATATGCAAGAGAAATGAAACATACAACCACACAAAGACTTGTAGCGACTTCATTCATAATGGTCAAAAACTGGAAACAGGTGTCCTTCAACAAAGGACAAACAAATTAGTCATTACATTTGAGGTAGTACTCAACAATAAAAATAAATGAGCCACAGATACTCATAACAATATGATGAAGTCTCAAAAACATGCTCAGTGAAAATCTTACAAAGAGTGTAGATATGAATGATACCATTTTTATGAAGTTCTAGAACAACACAATTAATCCATCCTGAAAAAAATCAGAACAAGGTGGGTGGCTTGGGTGAGCCTGGGTGGCTCAGTCAGTCAAGCATCCAACTTCAGCACAGAGCCCACTTCAGATCCTCTGTCCCCCCTCTGCCCCTCTACCACGCTCTCTCTCTCTCTCTCTCTCTCAAAAATAAGTAAACATTTTTAAAAAATCAGAACAGTGGCGTACAAGCAGGGATTGCCTGGGAAAGGGTGCAAAGGAAATTTCTGCTGGGGTTAGAAGGGAGTATACATTTGCCAAAATCATCAAATTGTAAACTTCAGAAGAGAATTCCACTATCTTTAATCATAACTGAAAAAAAAAACCAAATACTAAATTCTAGCATGCATTATGTTAAAGTGCTTGGTTGATGAGGGATACTGATTGGAATCTATACCAGAAAATTTAATTTTGAAATGCATCAAAACATATAGGGTGGATTGATGTACGGATATAGTCTCAATTTTTAAAAGGAACAATTAATGGATATCAAGCATCCACATAAGTAAGCAATTAAAGAGGCAATTTTTAGTTCGAATTTCAGTATTCACCAATCCTATTTGCCCTGTACTGTTGACTGTTGGAACTGGGGAAGTTCTCAAATCATAGCCCACATCTTGTGTGAATACTAACATCCTCTCAAGAAGCTTCATATAGCATGTAAAGTCGGTCCCCCAACACTCAAGAATAACCCTAGGTCAAGGAGAATGAAAACTTCCTCAGCTAATGCAGAATGAGAATTTATCAAACTAGAAAGAGCCTTTTTCAAATTCCAGATTTCTTTTAAGTTAGGATAAGATAGCCAAAGTCCCCGGAGTCCTTTAGAACTGATTCTTAAAACAAAGGTCTGGCTCATAAAAAAATTATGAGCATATTAAGATGATCTTATTTATCTCCTTGGGAAGGCATAAGACTTCCCTCACAAATGCTAGCAATCCTGAACATTGGAAGGGCAATTTTAAGATCTCCTTTAGCATACACATCTCAACATGTGAAATTGTTTTTGTACACAGTGCATGATACAAAGTTCACATAGTTACAGGATCATCAGCTAACTCCCTTATTCTTTCTTTCATTTCACACAAATAAGGGCTCCAAACTTTTCTTGACTTTGCCTTCTTTAGGATTTATTTTGTTCTAGAATTTAAAGAAGGACTGCTCAGAGAAAGACAAATATATGACTTCACTCATATGAGGACTTTAAGATACAAAACAGATGAACATAAGGGAAGAGAAGCAAAAATAATATAAAAACAGGGAGGGGGACAAAACAGAAGATACTCATAAATATGGAGAACAAACAGAGGGTTACTGGAGGGGTTGTGGAAGGAGGGATGGGCTAAATGGGTAAGGGCATGAAGGAACCTACTCCCAAAATCATTGTTGCACTATATGCTAACTTGGATGTAAATAAAAAATAATTAAATTTTAAAAATAATAAATAAGTAAATAAATAAAAACTTAAAAAATAAAAAATAAATAAGGAAGGACTGCTGTGTCATACAGAATCCAAACAACCCCATCTGGTACTGTGAGTAAAATAATTTTGTGAACAAATAGAATTTGCCCTTGCATATGCCCTTGACCTGGAGTATTTCCCGCTTCTCCAAGGCAGAGCAGTAAGGAAATGGCTGGGTTTTTCTCTATGCTAAACCCAAGTCCTTAATAATGTGTCATAAGTCATCTCAATTCTCAGCAGTCCTTTTGTATGAAATGTGGACTAGGAAAGCTTCTTATCAAAAGGAACACAACCCTCCAATACAGACCACAATTCAGAATTTGTCCAAAAATAAGGATTTATTTTTGTAACTCCTAAGATGAATCCCAGATGAAGATCAGAAATAGAATTCTTTCTTTGCTACATGTTATTTTGCAGAATTGTTTATTCTGGCTCTGAAGGCTTTATCTCAAGGTAAAACAAAACCGAAAGTTAAAACAAAGTGGCAGGTGTAACTTTGATCGCTCTCACTGTTGGTCCTTCAGAGGTGGCTAAAATTGAAGAAGTGTCCCTGGCTTCAACTAATTGTCTCCTTCTTAACCTGCTCAACAGATATGTAATATTTCTCAGAGACTTCTTTTAAGATTTGATTTATTCAAAATACTCTTTAGCCTTTGATATTCAAGAAAGTGACACTGATACAGAAAGCTCCATGTAAATCATCAAAGGGTCAGAGAACCTAGCTTCACACTAACCTTCCTTATCCTTGAATCAGAAAATGTTCCAAACATAAAACATTTTTCACTTTTAATCCATGAATCTAGGCAAATGTGCATACCTAACTGTAAATTACGTGGACGCTGTCAGTGCCCCATTGCCCATGCAATTTTGAACCCCAAATGCTAGCCTTCTGCAATGAATTTTCCAGGACCAATTTTGATGGATATAAAACCTCCTTAATCAGATAACAAGGCTAATAACCCCTTTATTTAAGCATGAGTCTGAGAGTGTTATGTGTGGGGTGCAGAAGAGAAAGTTTCAGCAAAATAGAGTAGGCAGGGGCAAATAAAAGTCTATTCCCTTTTTTTTTTCACCATATCCCTTCTTTTAACTATTTAGAACTAACCAGCTCTGCAATCAAATCAAAACTCTCAAATGCCATAAGATTTTGCTGACTTGCTCTTCAAAAAGCACTTATTGAGCTCCTACTTTGTACCAGGGTTGGAAGAAACAATCACTTAAAATATGTATATGGCCTTAAGAAATTATGATCACAGTGTCTGATTAGCCGGTAGAGCAAAACAAGGGACTTTGTTATTATCCTCTCTTGTGCTGAAATCTTCATGGTAAAAATAAACAGAAAAACATTTTGGTAAGACATCTCTAAATTCCCCTCTAGAGCTGAAATTCTGTGATCTTATACATTTATTATATTTTCTTAGCTGTGTTAGATTTTTTGAAGTTGGAGGAAGAGTGAGAAGCCCAATTTAATATAGTTGAAGTTAGTTTGCCATATGAAGAATAACAAACTAATAATAATAATCTCAACAGCTTTACTGTAGCAACCCAGCCCACTTTTAGTCTTCTGAAATGTCAAGTTCTAAATTCCTGATGGCTCCACTACTTTCTATTTCAGCTTCTGTAATATCTACTGCTCAATGACTTTGTTCTTATTTCAGTGGTTGGCTTTTGCATATGGCAGCTTTGGCAACATTATAGAGTCTACTAATCGCTTTCCTTTTGGGAGTCTCTATGCTTCTGAGTTGCTTTACCATTTGTGCGTCTCACCTTTGAATGCCTTCAGAAAGTCTAACAAGGTCCAGTCTCTTATCTCTTAGGCAGAATATCTCTCTTTCCTGAGGTTCTCATGCCTGACATACCTCCACACAGATCACTAGCCAGGATAGTGCTGCCTTTCTCTGCTGCAGGTGCTAATCCCTGGTCCAGTTCAGCCATGCTCCCAAACAAGGTCTCCCCTATGCCGGGCATAAGAAACTGGCTGTGCCTGTGTCCTTCAGAAACAAAATATGGAGACAGGTGGCGTTAAAACAATTACCTAATATACCTGGATGCTATAAATTTTCTCTGACTACACCTAGAGCATCATCAATGTAATTCTCATCTGGTATATACATCAGGATAAAATTCAGAAAATTTGGCTGAGCCATCTCTATAGCAATGGCAAAATAAGGAAGTCTTCATCTATAACTTAGAATACTGCCTCAAAAATGTTATATTTAAAAGCAGAAGTTAAAGGAAATAAAATTTTAAAACTCACATATTGCCTTTTCAAATTATAAGCTCAAAGTTATTAAGATAATAAAAATATAGACATGGCTTCTGATGAAAAACCTAAATGTTAAAAAAAATCTAGCCACAAAGATCAGAAACATTTATCAGAGGGGCTTATGTTTCTGATAAATATTTAAGTGTGTAAGGCAGAACCACTGAGAACAATAAATACTTTATAGCTGGCACTTTGTCAAACCTATAAGTGGCTCTGCCTTAGAATTTTACATCATCACTGAATTTACAGTCATTTGATAAGTGGAACAGGACAAGAATTACTTCTTTCTAAATCTAAACCAGGTAATAAATCTAACATCAGGATTCTTCTTATTGTCTGTTATCATCTGATGACAATGCCTTTTACCTTCATTGTCTTGGCAGAAATATGCTATGTAAAATTATAATGTCATATCACTCATAGTGATTTAACACTATCCAGCCCATACCATTTTAATCAATCAAAATTGTCGCTTTTTAGTGTAATGATTTTGTGGTGAATTCCCTGTGTTTAATATGATATATGGTCCTATCTACCCGTTGATTTACTATTCTCTTCCAAAGTCTAACAGCTCGGGAAGCTGTTCTTGCTTTTGGACATCTTTGGAATTAGCAAACAAGAATAATTTGTGGTAATAAAAATGCTAATTTACATGGCAATGAAAGCTGAAAAAAATATCTTAAGTGTTAGTAGCTGCAGCTACTTTTAAGTGCAAATAAAAGATGGCATTGTGAAATAAAATCACAGAAGAACTGGAGTTTTCCCCTCTGTATCCACATATGATCAAGGCATCTGTAATACCAAAACCACAGACCTCAGTACATGATCATTCCTTCCATACAACCATGAAAAATCCGGAATACACAAAGTATTCCCCTTTTTTAAATGCAAGCATACATTGCACAAATTTCTTTGTTCTTTAAAAAAAAAATGGCAAGGTAGTTTAAAGTGATTTTATTAATATTTATAAATCTTTTCAACTCGACATAAGCTAATAAAAATCAACCCCAGCTCCTACTCCTCAACTATATTATGCATTTAGGATTGGCTACAATGCAGTAACAATCAACCACCAAATCTCAGTGGACAAAACTATAATTTCTGGCTCATGCTATGTTTCCCAAACAGATCCACAGACAGTCATTTAGGGACTCAGTGACTCAGGGACCCATGCTACAGACTCCACATAGGTCACCAGAGAGTCACTGAGGGAGCCCGGTTTATAGAGGTTCTCCCATCTTATGTGTGCACCATCTGGAATGTGTAGCCTCCTGAGACGCCACGGAAGGGAAAGAGAGAGCTGCAGGTCCCGAGCCAGTGATTACATGACAAAATTACAAGTCTCTTGTGCTCATAGCCCATTGGCCAGAACTAGTTACATGGCCCTTCCCAATTGCAAGGCTGAGGGAAAACATAATCCTTCTGTGTGCCTGGAAGGAGAAAAATATGATATGGATGAGCTTAAGAAGTCTAAAACTTACATATTTTTAAAGAACGAAAAATGTCCAAATTTATTACAGGCAACTCTCCTTGATTCTCCTTGTAGAATCTTGAATGCCACATTACTTCCTTTGGAACTTATAATGTTATGCATTTACAGAGAAAGTGACCTGTATGACAATAAATAAGTTAAGGTTAACAACCGATTCCATTATTTAAAGCTGCAATACGTATTTAAATAAGAGAAAGCAGATATTCTGCCTATAGGTTAAGCTAATGAAAGTGCTTGTCTTTAAATTGTTTAAACCTTATTCCATTTGGCAAAGTAATTAAAATAATTTAAAATAAAATGTTTCATTTTGGTGCCCAGTCATTCCAATTCTGGCTTGTTGAAGCATAAACACAGATTTTAAGCACAAAAATATTAATAAGTCTAAGATTCCAATATTTCCATTTAATAGCAGAGTGAGTTGAGCTTTTTCAAACTTGTTAAAGCTCCACACTGTTACCACGTCCACCAGCCAGACCAGGTGCTGTTATTGTAGTTCCCAGTGGGCAGGATCAAGAGCTCCTGGGTTGAGCTGGTTGCCCAAGGCCCACCCAATGCTGATGGGGAGAGGAATATGAGAGCTCATTCATTCATTCAACAAAAAAACTATTGAATGTCTATGATCCACCAGACATTTGCCATACTCTGAGAATACAGCAATAACTGAAATAAGCTAACACCCCCCCCAAAAAAAAAACTCTTCTTTCTTAGACTTCACATACTAGTGAGAGAGGAGGACAACAAGATTAAGGGGAGCCATAGAACAAACAAGCAAACAAATGAGAAATAATTCCATGTAATGATAAAGGCTATGAAAATAAGTCAAATAAAAGGATAGAGACAGGAGTGGAGTTTGGAGTACTTTGGAGTAGATGGTCAGAAAAGATCTCTGAGGATATGACATTTGAGCTGAGAGAAGGAAGGTATGAAGGAGCCAGGACAGAGAGCTTTGGGTTGAAGAAAACCTAAAGGCAAATCTTAAGGCAAGAAAAAGCTTGGCATAAGACAAGAAAACCACTAGCGTCACAGGGGTAGGAAATGAAGAAGACTGGTAGATGGGTCAAATCAAGACAGGATCAGAGAAAAATAAGAAAAATAAGAAAAGATTTTCAAACCATTAATGTAGTGTAGAACAGAAAATTTCATGCAGTGATTAACAGTTGTTATTAAACAAGTTCAGTAGGGTTGCTAGGACACTGTAAAAATTCATCCTCCAATTCCAAAAAGCATTCTGTAAGAGGTTTAAGTAGTTAAAATCACTGAGTGATCAGAATAAACTTCAGGGCTGTAAAGGATTGGGAGAGTAAAAGACTGAGTCTGTCTTGAGAAATCTATAATTGAATTCAAAAAGCAGAGGATATGTCACTTAAAAATGAATCAAGGACTTTTGAAAACAAAATGTAACTAAGTGCAAATTAACATGAGACAAATTATATCTCAAGTGCAAAAGCGAGAGTCAGAAACAAGTGAATTGGTAACAAAAAGAGAGTGAATTTTAGAGTTTTGAAGTAGAGGCCAGATAAAAGATTTGCTTCTGGAAGGCTTGAAAAGTATCAAAGACATACCATGCAGAGAAAAGTTAAGTGTGCTAAGTGTGAAAAGATGTTAGTGTTTTGCCACATAACAAACCATCATCATAAAATCTAGTAGCTTAAGGCAATTTATTACACTCTCTCACAGTTCTACGAATTGACTGAGCTCTGCTGGTGGTGCTCACTTGGGTTCTCCTATGCAACTGGAGTAAGACAACGGCTAAGGCTCAGCTGAGCTGCTCATTAAGATGGCAACTGATGCTGGCTCTTGGAGAGACCTCAGTTGGAGTGTTCACCTGGAGTGCCTTCAAGTGTTCTTCCCATGTTGCTGGGCTTCATATAGCAGCAGCTAATTTCTAAAACAGAATGTCTCATAAGCAAGCATTACAATAGAAAAAAGCAGAAGCAGTAAAGCGTATCACCTAGCCTCAGAAGTCCCATAAAGTCATTTTCATTTGCAGGGGTCCCAGGGTGACTCCGTCAGTTGAGTGTCTGACTCCTGATTCCAGTTCAGGTCATGATCCCAGGGTTGAGGGATTGAGCCCCATGTTGGAGTCCATGCAGGCATGGAGACTGATTAAGATTTTCTCTGTCTCTCCTTCTGCCCCTCTACCCCACTCACATGCTCAATTTCTCTCTAAAACTTTTAAAAAAAATCATTTTCAGTGCAGTCTGTTGGTCAAAAAAAGCACTAAGTTCAGTCCAGATTCAAAGGGAAGGAAATTAGACTCTACTCTTTGACATAAGTAGGAGCATGTCTAATTGTGTAAAGAGGAACAGAATTCAGAAGAGCTTTTTTTTTTTTTTTTTTTTTTTTTTTTTTTTTTTTTTTTTATTTTTTTTTTTTTTTTTTTTTTTTTTTTTTTTTTTTTTTTTTTTTTTTACTATTTATCACAGTCTACCCTTGGGCCACCTAAATTCATGCCTCTCCCACTAACTCTCAACACTTCCAACATTTTTGTCCCATTGTATCATCAGGCTCAGACTCCAAGATCTTGTGGTCTGAGTCAGGTCCAGGTACAGTTGTGCTGTGTTTCCCTGGGTTTGGTTCCTCATGTAAGGTTGCTGTCAATCTGAAGACTGTTAAAGAGACAAATGGCTGCCACCATATACACCCCACACACTGATTAGAAAGCAAAGAATAACTAAAATAGATACTCCCCTTCACAAATGGACAAAATGGGAAGCACACAGCAGGTCTGCAGCAGTTTTGAAATCCATATGAGTGTGTTACCAGTTTCTTGTTAACAGTCATGCTTCCTGGGATTGTCTCACTGGAGCTTTGACTGCTCCTTCAAAGACATTGGCTCTGCCCTCTGAATCATGCTATGCCCCTGAGAATAGCCATCCTTGTAACTAAGTAGTTATATTCAGCCTGGTTAAGGGAATAAAACCTTTTCATTTTATATTATCTCATCCTTCTCATACCAAGCTTATGTAATTCCTTTTTTTTAATTTATATATGAAATTTATTGTCAAATTGGTTTCCATACAACACCCAGTGCTCATCCCAAAAGGTGCCCTCCTCAATACCCATCACCCACCCTCTCCTCCCTCCCACCCCCCATCAACCCTTAGTTTGTTCTCAGTTCTCAACAGTCTCTTATGCTTTGGCTCTCTCCCACTCTAACCTCTTTTTTTTTTTTCCTTCCCCTCCCCCATGGGTTCCTGTTAAGTTTCTCAGGATCCACATAAGAGTGAAACCATATGGTATCTGTCTTTCTCTGTATGGCTTATTTCACTTAGCATCACACTCTCCAGTTCCATCCACGTTGCTACAAAAGGCCATATTTCATTTTTTCTCATTGCCACGTAGTATTCCATAGTGTATATAAACCACAATTTCTTTATCCATTCATCAGTTGATGGACATTTAGGCTCTTTCCATAATTTGGCTATTGTTGAGAGTGCTGCTATGAACATTGGGGTACAAGTGCCCCTATGCATCAGTACTCCTGTGTCCCTTGGATAAATTCCTAGCAGTGCTATTGCTGGGTCATAGGGTAGGTCTATTTTTAATTTTCTGAGGAACCTCCACACTGCTTTCCAGAGCGGCTGCACCAATTTGCATTCCCACCAACAGTGCAAGAGGGTTCCCGTTTCTCCACATCCTCTCCAGCATCTATAGTCTCCTGATTTGTTCATTTTGGCCACTCTGACTTATGCCAGTGTTTCTTAACTGACCCCCCCCCCCAGCCCTATGTGACATATGATCATGTCTGGAAGTATTTTGGGTTTTCATGACTGGGGATGGTAGTGATACCAGCATCTAATGGGTAGATGCCAGAGATCTGCTGAATATCTTAAAATGCATGAGATAGCCTCCCCCCCACCCCCCAAAAAAAGAATTACTTGTCTCATAATGTCATTAGTGCAGTGCCAAGGTTGAAAGATCCTAATATACACAAATAATAACATGTTAGAAGATATAAGAGCCAGAAAAAAAATTTTAATGTTTATTTATATTTGAGAGAGACAGTGTGAGTGGGGGAGGGACAGACAGAGAGGGAGACACACAATCCATAGCAGGCTCTAGGCTCTGAGCTGTCAGCACAGAGCCTGATTCAGGGCTCTAACTCATGGACACTGAGATAATGACCTGAGCTGAAGTCAGGCACTTAACCGACTTAGCCACCCAGGTACCCCTCTTCTCTGAGATTTATAAGGTGTAAGAACAGTCTTCTTATTACTGAGACTGTGAGCAATTTAGTTTTTTCATGTGACTAGCTATCTTCTAGGACAACTGGGATAAATGGGACTGTATTCATGACCCAGGGATTCCACGTAGCAAGTGCCTAGGAGAAACTTTCTCTTTTTGTTCGATGATTAATGGTCTCCATTGACTTTTGCTGGCTGTAACCCTTTGGAAAGCCAACAAAACTGAGGTTTCTGTCTTGGGCCTTGAAGAGAAGCTGTTCTCTTTCTTTATGATTACCCCCCCCCCCCCCTTTGGCTCCCATCTGCCTCTAGGAGAAAGAAGCCATGGTCTCCTTGGAGATATTGTAGACCTTGGGACTTCAGAGATTTCTTATAGTATCTGCCAGCATGCTTGCTGTGGTTGTTGAACTACCCTAGTAGGATCATAGAAGGCAGGTGTATCAGGGGTATGTGCTAAGATTCCCTGTGCTCAGATTTTATTTTATTTTTAAAAAATGTTTTTATTTATTTTTGAGAGAGTGCGAGTAGGGGAGAGGCAGAGAAAGAGAAGGAGACATAGAATCTGAAGTAGGCTCCAGGCTCTGAGCTGTCAGCATAGAGCCTGACGCAGGGCTCAAACCGATGACCCATGAGATCATGGCCTGAGTCGAAGTCGGATCCTTAACCAACTGAGCCACCCAGAGGCCCCCTGTCCTTTGAATCAGCATTACCATCCTGCTAGGTTCTTCAATAAATTAAATAAATCTTAGAAAATCCCCTGTTCACGCTTTGTCTCTTTCTCTCTCAAAATAAATAAACTTCTTATTTTTATTATTTTTTTAAATTTAAACCCAAATTAGTTAACATATAGTGTCATGATGATTTCAGGAATAGAATTTAGTGATTCATCACTTACACATAACACCCGGTGCTCATCCCAACAAGTGTCCAGATTTGTGTGACTTATAAGCAGAAGTTTTCGAACTTGTACTTTTGAAATTGTTTCCCCCATTGAAATGCATTTCAAGTTGGGGTTGTCTAACTCGTAGGATTGTATAGTCAGCATAGCATAATGATTAAGAACCAGAAGTTTTGGAAAAAGATACATTTAAGATCCCAGGTATTTTACTTTGTTAACAGGGTCTCCATTTCCTCATCTACAGAATAAGCGTAATTATTCTTAAATTATGGAATCATTTTTTAAAATAAGAATTATTTTTTTGATTTTTTTTTTTAAATTTAAATTCAAGTTAGTTAACATATAATGTAGTATTGGTTTCAGGAGTAGAATCTGGTTGGGGTGCCTGGGTGGCTTAGTTGGTTAAGCGTCCGACTTAGGCTCAGGTCATGATCTCATGATTTGTGTGTATGAGCCACGTGTTGGGCTTTGTCCTGACAGCTCAGAGCCTGGAGCCTGCTTTGGTTTCTGTTTTTCCCTGTCTGCCCCCGCCCCGCCTTGCACATGTTCTATCTCTCAGAAGTAAATAAACATTAAAAAAATTAGTAATTTATTACTTACATATAACACCCAATGCTCATCCCAACAAGTGCCCTCTTTAATTTAACCCATCCCCCCACCCACTGAGCAACTCTCAGTTTGTTCTCTATAGTTAAGAGTCTCTTATGGTTTGCCTCCCTCTCTTATTTTATCTTATTTTAGTTTTATTTCTCTTCCCCCTATGTTCATCTGTTTTGTTTCTTAAATTCCACATATGAGTATTTGTCTTAGATTTATTTCACTTGGCATAATACACTATAGTTCCATCCACATTGTTGCAAATGGCAAGATTTCTCTCTTTTTGATCACTGAGTAATATTCCATTGTGTGTGTGTGTGTGTGTGTGTGTGCGTGTGTGTGTGTGTGTGTGCGCGCACTACATCTTTTATCTAGTCATCCACTGAGGGACATTTGGGCTCTTTACATAATTTAGCTATTGTTGACAGTGCTGCTATAAACATTGGGGAGCGTGTGCCCCTTCAAATTAGCATTTTTTAATCTTTTGGATAACTACCTAGTAGTGCAAAGGCCAGGTTGTAGGGTAGTTCTATTTTTAACTTTTTGAGGAACCTCCATACCATTCTCCAGAGTGGCTGCACCAGTTTGCATTCTTTCTAACAGTATAAAAGTTTTCCCCTCTCT